TCTCCCGTGGTCGCGTGGATTTTTCTCCGGGGCCTTCCGGTTACTTCCTCCTCGTTTTAGGAACAACTGAGCTATCTAGCTCAGTGGGCCTTAGCTGGTAAAATAAAACAAAAAGAGTTTAGTTGAACGTTCGTTATATACATTGGCAGGAAGGTGGCAGTTTGGAATCTCCTGCACTCTGCAATGCTGCAGGGAACTTCCATAACAAGCATGGCATGCGTCGTAAAGTGGTCACACTAAATATGTCGGCACGTGAATTTACGTAATTAACAAAAGTCAAAACGCGGAGCCACTTCGTATGAGTCTCTTGTCCCAGGGGTTTCCTGTCAGGTGGCTCAGCGGTAGAGTGGTGATAGACTCACAATACGTGAAGGTCGCGAGTTCCAATCCAAGTTCTGGCGATTGACTCAGCCCATCATCTCTCTGGGGGGGGGGGGGGGGGGGTGGGGGCGGTAAATGAGTACCACTCTGTGGGGAAGTCAAAAGCAGTCGACTCGCTCCACGGTAGGAATGGCGAAGTTCCGCTGCTGGCTCAAGGCTATAAACGGGAGACGGGGGGAGGCTGCTTGAATGCTAATTTGAGTAAGACATCAATCTGCCTTTTGAGTGGGAGGCGATGAGGAGACGTAAACAATAACAAATCCTCCTTCGTGGACTTGTTGGGGGGGGAGGGGGGTAATAAGCGCCCATATTGAGATTGGAGGGTCTATCCGTCAACGAACTAGAAAAAAAGGTAATTAACAAATAACGTTGTCTATCACAAGTTTTGTTCCTGGGTAGTAAGTGATATTTTTTGTTTATTGCTTATGCCTCAACAGTATAGAAAATGGCCATTCTTCCCCACAAACTTTGCTTTTGTGACCAGGACTTTACGTGAACGAAAGACACAAATGCACACTTTTTATAGGTACATTTCAAAATATCACTGTCCTGGTCACAAAAGCAAAGCTTGTGGGGAATAATAGCCATTTATCTGTACTTTTGAGGAATAAGCAATTAGGAATTAACACTTACTAGCCAGGAACAACATGTTTTTTTCGTTACACAGTGTAATTAACGTGAAGGGTATCTTGAAAGTTGAGGTGGGTGGGTGGGTGGCTGCGGGGTCAGAGTCGGCATCGCTGAGATCCAGGACTCAAAGCCGGATTGTCACTACCCGTGATTAAACGGCGTTCTGCCAATGCAGTGAGCTGATGGTCAGCCGCTTCTCTCAGATCCTGCTTTGGAATCCGCTCATTGATAGTCCCGGCCCAGTTACAAATGCCCGCACACACACACGAAGACAAACAACCTATCATATTCAATGTCTTTTTTTTCCTTCACTTAACTTTCGTTTTTGCTTAATTTGACAAAATTACACTTCTTTGAGATAAAAAGGGAAGGTTGATTGGCAAAGTACCTTCAAAGCTGTTTTTTTTTAAACTCGGGTGCGGACGAAGGGGCCGATTGGCAGTGATTTCAGAAGTAGTTCTGTGACCTCATCTTCCGGAGATGTTCTCTGGCACAGGGTGATGCACTGCTCTCTCTCTCTCTCTCTCTGAGAATTCTGAACGGAAATGTGTTCAGCTCACCACACGTGACAATTTCAATAGAATCGGGGGGAAGGGGGACAGAGCGTCAGGACTACTTTGCGGCGAATGAGTTTGCACATTTCTCAAGCAGCAACCTCAAACTGCCCATTGCAACTACAGTGAGGGAAAAAAAGTATTGGATCCCCTGCTGATTTTGTACTTTGCCCACTGACAAAGAAATGATCAGTCTATAATTTTAATGGTAGGTTTATTTGAACAGTGAGAGACAGAATAGCAACAACAAAATCCATAAAAACGCATGTCAAAAATGTTATAAATTGATTTGCATTTTAATGAGGGAAATAAGTATTTGACCCCCTCTCAATCAGAAATATTTCTTTGCTCCCAGGTGTCTTTTATACAGGTAACGAGCTGAGATTAGGAGCACACTCTTAATGGGAGTGCTCCTAATCTCAGCTTGTTACCTGTATAAAAGGCACCTGTCCACAGAAGCAATCAATCAATCAGATTCTAAACTCTCCACTATGGCCAAGACCAAAGAGCTCTCCAAGGATGTCAGGGACAAGATTGTAGACCTACACAAGGCTGGAATGGGCTACAAGACCATTGCCAAGCAGCTTGGTGAGAAGGTGACAACAGTTGGTGCGATTATTCGCAAATGGAAGAAACACAAAATAACTGTCAATCTCCCTCGGCTTGGGGCTCCATGAAAGATCTCACCTCGTGGAGTTGCAATGATCATGAGAACGGTGAGGAATCAGCCCAGAACTACGCGGGAGGATCTTGTCAATGATCCCAAGGCAGCTGGGACCATAGTCACCAAGAAAACAATTGGTAACACACTACGCCGTGAAGGACTGAAATGCAGCAGCGCCTGCAAGGTCCCCCTGCTCAAGAAAGCACATATACATGCCCGTCTGAAGTTTGCCAATGAACATCTGAATGATTCAGAGGACAACTGGGTGAAAGTGTTGTGGTCAGATGAGGCCAAAATGGTGCTCTTTGGCATCAACTCAACTCGCTGTGTTTGGAGGAGGAGGAATGCTGCCTGTGACCCCAAGAACACCATCCCCACCGTCAAACATGAAGGTGGAAACATTATGCTTTGGGGGTGTCTTTCTGCTAAGGGGACAGGACGTCACCGCATCAAAGGGACGATGGACGGGGCCATGTACCATCAAATCTTGGGTGAGAACCTCCTTCCCTCAGCAAGGGCATTGAAAATGGGTCATGGATGGGTATTCCAGCATGACAATGACCCAAAACACACGGCCAAGGCAACAAAGGAGTGGCTCAAGAAGAAGCACATTAAGGTCCTGGAGTGGCCTAGCCAGTCTCCAGACCTTAATTCCATAGAAAATCTGTGGAGGGAGCTGAAGGTTCGAGTTGCCAAACGTCAGCCTCGAAACCTTAATGACTTGGAGAAGATCTGCAAAGAGGAGTGGAACAAAATCCCTCCTGAGATGTGTGCAAACCTGGTGGCCAACTACAAGAAACGTCTGACCTCTGTGAGTGCCAACAAGGCTTTTGCCACCAAGTACTAAGTCATGTTTTGCAGAGGGGTCAAATACTTATTTCCCTCATTAAAATGCAAATTAATTCATAACATTTTTGACATGCGTTTTTCTGGATCTTTTTGTTGTTATTCTGTCTCTCACTGTTCAAATAAACTTACCATTAAAATTATAGACTGATCATTTCTTCGTCAGTGGGCAAACGTACAAAATCAGCAGGGGATCAAATACTTTTTTCCCTCACTGTAAGTGGCAGAGGCTAATGATGCATGCATCGTGACGTTGCTGACTCAGCGATGTAACTATCAGGAACATTGCATAATTTAGTACGCAGACGCTCTACAGGGAAGATATGCACTTACGTAAGTACTGCAGAACGTTTGTAAGATGGAAAATATTTGGTGATATGATGATGATCAATAATGACCATTATGATATGATTATGTGATTGCAATGATTACAGTATCATGATGATAATGATAACAATATGAATGACGATGTTGGTGATTGTGATGTTGTTGGTGGTGATAATGATGATGATCATATCAATGATGATGACGATGCGGACATGTCCATGTACGATGTGGGGTCGTGGCGCCATCTGACTACACTCCACCACGCTGGCGATGGCGGGCTGATCAAGGCGGGAGAGAATAAATATGGGACTCATAGAAGTACACTACAACAACGGATTGTGCTCCCGCTTCTGCTGCCGCATAGAAATCAGGCAAGTCGTTCAATGTGCAACACGACGGAGTGACAATCGTGAGATAAATTAGGAACACCACTGATGATACCACCAGCATTCCATTGGGCTATTATGCCCAATACTGCAACTGCTTTAAGCACTCAGATATGCAGTGCTGCAATACACTGCAGACACGCGCGCGCGTGCACACACGCACACACACACACTGCCACCGTCTCATACCGACACAACTGTAATTTTTCGCGCAATGCAAGGAGCGAAAGTGCATTTGAAAACACGACGACACAAAAGCACCTTTCATCTCTGTCGTCTTATAAATAGACCGTAAGGGGGCCAAGCGCTGGTAACTGCGTACCTATTAAAGGCAGAACATTTCACACGTACATACACACAGACACACGCGCGCACGTACACACACACACACGCGCGCACGTACACACACACACGCGCGCACGTACACACACACACACGCGCACACACTGACACTCTGCGCTTGAGTAGCCGCATGCTGCAGTGGCTACTCACGGCCACACTCCCGACAGGCGAGGCAGTCGGTCGCGGCACTCGCAGAGTCACGAGAGTCAAGAGCCACTCATTGTCGCACTGAAGTCACTGAAAGCCGGACACGAACATTTGCACCCCGAGTCAGTGATTCGAGCCGATTGTCGTGAGAGTCATAGAGTCACTAAACGTACAGCTCGTTCGAGACGTAGCTACGAAAAACGCACGGTCGCTGGGGTCAGAGTCACGACAGAGAGAAGAAAAACAAAACAAATTTTTTTTCTACACGAGAGCCGGTCAGTCAATGACGGTCGGTCGGTTGAATCGGTCATTTAAAACGCCCTACCACGAGCGTGGCGTCCCCTCGAGTGGTAAGTCACGGAGCCCTCTGGCGTCGCTGGGCTCACAGTCACGGGGCGACCGGCTCGCAGTCACGACAACGACCGCGGTCACGGAAACTCCGACGAGTCAACGCGGAACCCGTCGCCCGGCCACGCGACCCATCGAGGCGCTGTGCCGGTAACGGGACGCTGGCCGGGGTGGCGTGTAAACAAACAAAAAAGGAAGGAAAAAAAATTCACGCAAAATTATAACAAACAAACAAACAACAAGAACAACAACAAAAATCCCGAGCCGGTCACGGGGGAACGAACACTCGCCGGTCGCGGCATCGAACACCGCCAAAGTGTCGCGGGTCGGCGTTTGTCCACACGGCCGCAGCTGGAACGGTCGCGCGCGCCTCACCTGGGGCGAGCCGACGACGGCCCCGGCGGGGAGACGTGAAGCAGGGACGCCCGAGCACGAGAGCGCACGCACGGCCTCGAGCAACCCGCCCCTGCTGCTGCTGCCACTGCCTGAGACCGCTGCTATTGCCCAGACTGCTGCTGCTGCTGTTGACGCCCCTGACCTTGGGAGACGACGTGAGTCCCTCCTCCTCCTCCTCCTCGTCTCCAGCCTCATGCGCGTTGCGCACCCGGGGGGGGGGGGGGTGTGGAGGGGGAGTGAGGGAGCAGCAGCAGCCCCTGAATGGATGAGAGAGATGTGGAAACAAAAAATCCTTTGGGGGTGAGTGGGGCTGTAGGGGGTGAGAGAGGGAGTGTGGGGAGGTGAGGGAGGAGAAGGAGTGCGCGGTGAGTGAGTGAGAGAGATGCATTGGGAGAGGGAGGAGAGAGGGGGGAGGTGAATTGTGTAACGTCACTGGAACTGTGCTTGCTTCGACGGGTGAACGAATTAAGAATTTGCAAATGCTGCGAGATGGGCCTTTTGATGATACGTCTCTGTGTGTGTGAGTCGGCGTAGCTGTGTGTGAGTGAGTCTGCGTGGCTGTGTGTGTGAGTAAGTCTGTGTGGCTGTGTGTCTGTGTGGCTGTGTGTGTGAGTGAGTCTGCGTGGCTGTGTGTGTGGCTGTGTGTGTGAGTGAGTCTGTGTGGCTGTGTGTGTCTGTGTGGCTGTGTGTGTGAGTGAGTCTGTGTGGCTGTGTGTGAGTCTGTGTGGCTGTGTGTGTGAGTGAGTCTATGTGGCTGTGTGTGTGAGTGAGTCTGTGTGGCTGTGTGTGTGAGTGAGTCTGCGTGGCTGTGTGTATGTGTGAGAGTCTGCGTGGCTGTGTGTGAGTCTGTGTGGCTGTGTGTGTGTGAGTCTGCGTGGCTGTGTGTGTGTGAGTCTGTGTGGCTGTGTATGTGAGTGAGTCTGCGTGGGTGTGTGTGTGTGAGTCTGTGTGGCTGTGTGTGTGAGTCTGCGTGCCTGTGTGTGTGTGAGTCTGCGTGGCTGTGTGTGTGTGTGAGTCTGCGTGGCTGTGTGTGTGTGAGTCTGTGTGGCTGTGTGTGTGAGTGAGTCTGTGTGGCTGTGTGTGAGTCTGCGTGGCTGTGTGTGAGTGAGTCTGCGTGGCTGTGTGTGTGTGAGTCTGTGTGGCTGTGTGTGTGAGTGAGTCTGTGTGGCTGTGTGTGTGTGAGAGTCTACAGGGCTGTGTGTGTGAGTCTGTGTGGCTGTGTGTGTGTGTGAGTCTGCGTGTCTGTGAGTCTGCGTGGCCGTGTGTGTGAGTGAGTCTGTGTGGCTGTGTGTGTGAGGGTCTACAGGGCTGTGTGTGTGAGTCTGTGTGGCTGTGTGTGTGTGTGTGAGTCTGCGTGTCTGTGAGTCTGCGTGGCTGTGTGTGTGAGTCTGTGTGGCTGTGTGTGTGAGTGAGTCTGTGTCGCTGTGTGTGTGTGTGAGTCTACGTGGCTGTGTGTGTGTGAGTCTGCGTGGCTGTGTGTGTGAGTGAGTCTGCGTGGCTGTGTGTGTGTGTGAGTCTGTGTGGCTGTGTGTGTGTCTGAGTCTGCGTGGCTGTGTGTGAGTGAGTCTGCGTGGCTGTGTGTGTGTGAGTCTGCGTGGCTGTGTGTGTGTGAGTCTGTGTGGCTGTGTGAGTCTGCGTGGCTGTGTGAGTGAGTCTGCGTGTCTGTGTGAGTGAGTCTGTGTGGCTGTGTGTGTGTGTGTGAGTCTGTGTGGCTGTGTGTGTGAGTCTGTGTGGCTGTGTGTGTTAGAGACTGTGTGGCTGTGTGTGAGTCTGCGTGGCTGTGTGGCTGTGTGTGTGAGAGTCTGTGTGGCTCTGTGTGTGTGAGTAAGTCTGCGTGGCTGTGTGTGTGTGAGTCTGTGTCCGGCAAAACAACCCCCTACCTCCTCGGGGTGCCGGAAGAGCAACTCTGTCGTGGACAGTGATGTGGGGGGAGGTTCCAATTGTGATTGGCTCCTCCCCTCATGGCATATGTGTTCACCACAGGGGCTAAACGGGGGCTCTGGACGGGTGTGAGGGGCTGGTAATCCCTCCACCTTCAATTAATTACCACTAAACTGCGAATTAAGTATATAACTAATAAGCTTGTGCCGGAGGCCCCGGGGGGCCAGGCATCTATGACGTCTCCTGGCCAAACCCCAATTGGCGGAGTCAGGAGATTGAATATCTACCCTCGGGGCTCCTCCAGAAACAACAAAAAAACACTACGGGTGGCCACGTGGAATGTTCGAACGCTCACTGCGGAGGAGAGGCTGCCACTCCTCTGTCGGGAGCTGGACCGGTACCGCCTGGATCTATGTGGCATTCAGGAGGTCCGGTGGACCGGCTCTGGCTCCTGCCACCATGAGGGGTGGACAGTCCTCTACTCGGGGCAGCAGACTGCCAAACAACAGGGTGTGGCTCTTCTTTTGAACAAAAGAATGAAGGGGGCGTGGGAGCGTGGCAGTGAGGTGTGGGAAGCTGTAAGCCCCAGGCTACTTTGGGCTCGCCTTCTCATCAACCGGAGGCGAGGAATGGTGGTCGTGGTTACTTATGCCCCCACCGAAGATGAACATCCGTGGAGGGATGCAGGCAAAGCCGATGAGTCGGATGCCTTCTATGACCTCCTGCCACAGGTGCTGGCTAAAGTGGCCCCTCGGGATAGAGTCATCATGTTGGGTGACTTCAATGCCCGAGTTGGTCATGATACTGGCACCTGGTCTGGAGCGATTGGAGGGCATGGGCCAGATCAGCTCAATAACAACGGTAGGAGGCTGCTAGATTTTTGTGCAGCCCATGGGCTTGTAATTACCAACACGCTGTTCCGGCATCGGTGCATCCACACAACATCATGGATGCATGCCGGGTCCAAGCAAGAACATCTGCTGGACTACATAGTGACGGACCAGCGGATGCGAGCCCATGTCCTTGACACCAGGACCTACCGTGGAGCTGATCTACCCTCTGACCATCGACTAGTCATCTGTAAGATGCGCCTGCCATTCTTCCACTCCGGTGGTGGGTGTACACCCAGGACCCCATTCCAACCTAAAGTGGCCTGGTCTCAATTATCTGATGAAAGTTGCAAGCGAGAATTTCATCATCGCTTGCGGCTGGGATTGGCATCGTCCCCGACTCCTCCTGATGTCGAGGGTAAATGGGCGAGGTTTAGGACTGTGACTCATGCAGCTGCAATGGCTGCTTTGGGTATGCGGTCCAGACCTCCCCAGAGACCCTGGCTGACAGAGGAGGTGTTCAGGATGATTGAGAAAAAGCGACAGGCCCACTGTCATCGGCTACAGAATCCCACGTGAGAGAATGAGGAGGCTTACCGCAGCCTTCGCTCAGAGGTTCGGAGAGCCGTGAGGCGCTGCAAGGATGGGTGGTGGTCGCGGGTTGCTGAGGAGATGGAGTCTGCCTCAGTGGCCCGTGATCACAAATCTCTATTTAACTCCATCAAAAAAGTAATCTGCAGCACCACACCTATTACCATCATTAGGGGAAAAACGGTGACCCAATCTCCAACCCCCAGGAACAGGTTTGCAGATTTGCTGAGCATTTCTGTGAGGTCCTGGGGGAGGGAAAATCCCTCAGCCAGGAAAACATCGTGGCACAAAGTGAGGATGACCCTGCTGAGGCTGCGGTGCCTCAAATATTGGAAGAAGTCACCCCCTGTGAGTGGCTGGCTGAGGTGCCATCTGTTGAGGAAGTACTGAAGGCGATCCGGAGTCTGAGACCAGGAAAGGCAGCGGGCAAAGATGATCTCTCAAGCGAAATGCTGAGGGAGGGCGGCGTTTGTGCACAGACTGCCCTATATGACATCATAACAACAGTCTGGACCACTGGACGGGTTCCGCAGGATTGGAAGGATGCCCTGGTGGTCCCCCTTTTTAAGAAGGGGGACCGCACAGACTGTAACAACTACAGGGGCATCTCACTCCTCAGTGTGCCGGGAAAGGTCCTGGCAAGGATTATTCAACATCGCCTTGCCAGGCACGCTGAGGAGAGGCTTGCGGAGTCCCAATGCGGTTCAGGAAAGGGCGGTCCTGCACAGATGCCATATTTTCTGTCCGTCTGCTCCAGCAGAGGTGTAGGGAATTCCAACAAGACCTACATCTCTGCTTTATTGACCTGGTCAAGGCCTATGATACCATCAGTAGGCCTGGGCTCTGGGTTGTTCTTCGTGCTTTTGGAGTACCTGACCCTCTGCTCACGATCATTAAGGACCTTCATGATGGTGAGCGGGCCCGGGTAAAACTACGTGGCCGGGAGTCAGAGCCATTCCCTGTACACCTTGGGGTGCGACAGGGATGTCCTCTGGCTCCCACATTATTTAACATCTATTTTGACCACGTAGTTCGTGAAGCCTTCAATAGCTGTACCGGGGGAATCTCCATATGGTACAGATATAATGGGAGGCTGATCGATGCCCGGGTGCGGTCAAGGGATGGCTCCCTATTGCTCAACCACGTTATGTATGCTGATGATTTGGTAATAGCTGCTCATTCAGAGGAGGAGTTGGAGACGCTGCTTCTGAGACTGGAGCGTGCCACTAAGAGGTGGGGCCTTACCATCAGCCCCACCAAAACTAAGCACCTGCCTGGGTATTTTGTACCATCGGACACTCCACCCCCACAACTCCCAATCGGTGATGGGGCAGTTGTGGAGAGAGTGGAGAGTTTCCCATACCTGGGCAATGTGCTTATGACCGGCTCCAGTTTAACAGCAGAGGTCTCACTCCGAATCAGTCGAGCGGCAATATCTTTTCATCGGTTGCGTAACGCTGTGTGGAAGCTACCTGGTCTGTCGCTCCGCACTAAGCTTCAGGTCTTCTCGGCCACGGTCATTCCGTCCCTTCTCTACGCTTGCGAAACGTGGACCCCCCTAATGGAACATCTTCGCCGGTTAGAAACATTTAGGCTGGCCTGCCTACGATCCATCCTGGGTTTAACCAGACTGGATTGTGTGAGCTCACAAATCCTTGAAAGATCTGGGCAAGGTCCCATCAGTGAGCTCCTCCGGCGGGGAAGGCTGCGATGGCTGGGTCATGTAGCCGCATGCCCAGCCACCGCATGCCGAAACAGCTTTTGTTCGACCCGTGGCAGCTGGGTCTGCCCCGTGACCTCCTGCCAGCGGGCGTTCGACACTTCACGTGGCCTCAGGGTGCACATAGCCTGGCACAAGCGTCGAGGTGAC